GCTGAGGCAAGAGAATCGCCTAAGCCCAGGAGTTGGAGGTTGCTGTGAGCTGTGATGCCACAGCACTCTACCAAGGGCAATAAAGTGAGACTCTGTCTCAAAAAAAAAAAAAAAAAGCCAAAAAACAAAAAACTGTCTTTTGTTGGGGAGATCTGTGTCTGTAGAGAAAATTTTCTGCACCCAAGCATCCAGGCTTTCTCTGAGGGCCTTTCCTTGTCTGCTTCAGAAAAGATTAACTGAGAGTCTCACTCTATTAAAGGTCTGAAAGAAACACTGATCATTTATTCTCTCTCAGGGATGCTATCTGTGAGGTTTAATCCATATAACAAGATCACCTTTTCTAGCCAAGCCTTCCTCCCCTTCCATAACCTGTTTTGCCATGATATGAGCCCTCATTTTTCTGTAACCCCAAGATGACATATAAGGTTCTGAACCCCATGACAGGTTTGAGGTAATCTCTCTGTGGTTTGCCCCATGCATGTTAATAAATTTGTATACCTTTTCTTTTATTAATCTGCCTTTTGTCAGTTGATTTTCTTTTTTTTTTCTTTTTCTTTTTTTTGAGACAGAGCTTCAAACTGTTCCCCTGGGTAGAGTGCCATAGCATCACAGCTCACAGCAACCTCCAACTCCTGGGCTCAAGCAAGTCTCCTGCCTCTGCCTCCCCAGTAGCTGGGACCACAGGCGCCCGCCACAACGCCTGGCTATTTTTTGGTTGCAGCCATCATTGTTGTTTGGCAGGCCCGGGCTGGATTCGAATTGTGAGTTGATTTTCAACGAAACTTTGGAGGTTAAAGGAGTTTTCCCTTGGCCTTACAGTTTTGGAATAGTTGGTAGGAAAACTAACACTACTTTGCTCTTATAGAAGCTGCAATGAAGGGAACCCAAGGACCTGACAAGCTGGAGAAAGGGTAAGAAAGTCTTACCAGCCAGGATCTCTGTGGAATCCAGTGGAGCCCACAGTAAAAATCACTATCTCTTTTTCCTCTCCAAAATCTTGACTAATGGGAGGGAGAGATTTATGTGACTAATCTTGGGTATAGTGATTCTAGTGTACTTTTTGGTATGAATATCATATTATCTGATCCTGTCCCCTCAAAAATAGCCTTTTCCTTTGTATTTGTATTTTTGTGCTGTTTTGTCACAAAGAAAATACCACAGGGTAGAACACAGGCCTAAAACCATCACAAACCCAGTGTTCAAGCCAGTCTTAAAGACTAGCCAGTATTGCGATTCTGAACAGATCAGCATCTATTTAGACAAACTTTGCTGTGGGTCCCCAAAATAAAACTAGATGAAGTTCCCTCTTGTTTCACTTTATGTCCTTGAGAACTTGACTTGTAACCAAGTAGCACTCTCTCTTTGGTCTCTGCCATTTAGGGGTAGTGATTTTGGGGTCTTATCTGGTGGCCAGTGGAAAATGGTTGAGAACCCAAGACATGTAAGTTTTTTTTTTTTTTTTTTTGATAGAGTGTTGATCTGGAGTTGAGAACAATGGATCCTGTTGTG